AATTTTTCAAGACAACAAGGCCACTCGCTCCATCTAGCTTGAAGAAGAATTCAATTCCACTCGTCTGGAATCTTTCTCCGATATTCACGACTACTCTTCTCGTCTCAAAAGTCTTTCTGATCACGATAAAATATAGGTAATCCCATCTCTGAAAATAATATGGTACTTCAACTAATTTCTGGTTTGACAAAATGTGAATACGATATTGTGGCAACCATCATTCAACAAACTGAACCGTTGCATAGCTTTAACAAAGCCACTTCTCAACTGATACTTGAAGAAACCCGACGCAAGAATCAATCGTCCCACATCCCTCAGGCTTTCATCACCTAGAAATCCACAAAGTCTTCCTCTGATGCAAAACCTCCTACATCAGACTCTAATCTTATCGGTCCTAACACAGCTACCCGCGGTGGTCGGGGTACTTATCAGGGACATGGTGGATGCAAAAACAATCGTGGATGTGGTAAAGGTAGAGGGTGTTTCAACAACTCTGGTCCCTTTTCCTATCAATGACCTTACCAATGGTATCAACCATGGGTTGTACCCCCTTTCCTTATCCTACTGCAGCCCAAGGCACACAAGTAGACCTTCTCGGTCCAGCTCCACGAGCATCGGTCCACCAACAGCAGCCCGTTGGATCCCAAGCTTATTACACCGGTGAACATGGTGTACCCATGACTCCTACTCAGCTCGATTCCGCCTTCCACACTATGTATTTATGTCCACTAGAGAATTCTTGGTATATGGATACGGGATCTACGTCCCACCTCACCAATGATGTAGGTACTTTATATCCCTTTTCTCCCTTGAGTAAACAACATTCTATCTTGGTTAGAATGGCACTAATATTCCTAGTCTTTGTCAAGGCTCCACCAAACTCTCTTTTCCTAATCATTCTTATTATCTTCGTAACGTTTTCCATGTTCCCCAAATCATCAAAAATCTTGTCTCGGTAAGACAATTTACTCATGATAACCTTGTTTCTGTCTAATTTGACCCTTTCGGTTTTTTTGTGAAGGGTTTTATCACGAAGAAAATTCTAATGAGGCACAACAGCACCGGTGATCTTTACCCCTTCTCCTCCAATCATACCAAGTCTTCTTCCGTTTCTCTTCATGTTGTGTTTCCCTCCACCTTGCATAATCGTTTTGGTCATCCCGGCATATCAATTTTTAATTTTCTTAAACCTTATGGTTCTAGTTCTAGTTTTAAGGTTGATCATCATGGTAATGCATGTTCTCTAGGGAAACATTGTTTTTTACCATTCTCGTTATCTCACACTATTACTTTAGCTCCATTTGATATAATTCATGCTGATTTATGCACCTCTCCAACTGAATCTAAACTTGGTCATAAATATTATTTAGTTTTAATTGATGATTTTTCACACTTCATCTGGATATTCCCATTAAAAACTAAATCTCAAGTATTCACCATCTACCAACAATTCCATACACAAATCAAAACCCAATTCAATCGAAACATCAAAACTTTACAATGTGATAATGGTAGAGAGTTTAATAACTCCCCGGTCCAAAAAAATTCCTTAAAACCGGTACAAAGTTTCGTTTTACATGCGCTTATACTTCACCACAAAATGGAAAAGTTGAAAGAATAATTCACACTATTAACAATATGATTCATACTAGCCTTCTCCAAGCATCTCTACCCCCATTTTTTCGGCATCACGCTCTATCAGTAGCCACATATCTTATTAATATATTACCTTCCACTGCCATTCAAAACAAAACACCAAACGAAGTTCTATACCTACACAAACCCACCTACACTCATTTACGTACCTTTGGGTGTCTATGTTACCCGAATATTTTCGCTACCACTCAAAATAAACTAACTCCTAGATCCATTCCGTCCATCTTTCTTGGTTACCCAGACAATCACCGTGTTTATCTATGCCACACTCTCTCAAATGACAAACCCATCATATCCCTTCACGTTACTTTTGACGAGAATACATTTCCTTACCAAAATCATTTCTTATATCCCTCATCTTCTTATGACTTTCTCGATAATCCACCACCCTCCCCTTTTCTAAATCCTCTTTATCACATGTCAAATAATACCACTCCACCTTCACAATCGAGTCCCACTTCATCTCATGTTACTTAGTCAAAAGTTCAACCAACCCTCATGTTGGTTCATCCAATTCATCACCCCCACCAACTAACTCCACGATTGTTCCTCCTGTCCATTCTCCAATTGCTCCTACAAATCCCCTATTGCCAACAGCCCCACGAAATACTATCCACACCCGCTCCCATAGTGGTATTACTAAACCCAATCCTAAATATGCTTTATCCTCTCAATCTATTTCTCCTTTTCCTACCAGTCCTAAGTCCACTCTCCTTGACCATAATTGGAATTGTGCTATGAAAACTGAGTTTAATGCTTAACTTCACCAAAACACATGGGATTAGTACCTCACCCACCTAATACTAATGTCATTGGTTGTCATTGGATTTATAGTCATAAGTTCAAATTTGATAGTTCTCTTGAAAGATATAAGGCCATACTAGTTGTTAATGGTAAGTCTCAGGAGGTTGGTGTTGATTGTGGTGAAACCTTCGGTCCCGTAGTCAAACCTGCCACTATTAGAACAGGTATCAGTTTGGCCTTGAGCAAAACTTGGTCAATTAATCAACTTGATGTCAAAAACGCTTTTCTTCATGGCACTCTCCAAGAAACAGTCTACATGTATCAACCACCTAGCTTTGCTGATCCCTCCTATCTGTGTCATGTTTGCAAACTACATAAGTCTTTGTATGGTTTATAACAAGCACCACGTGCCTGGTACCAACGGTTCGCCCATTACCTCCTCATCCTTGGTTTTGTGTGTAGCAAAAGTGATAACTCTCTATTCATCTTACGAAGAAACAATGAGTATGCATATTTATTGGTTTATGTGGACGATATCATTCTTACAACCTCCTCCCTCGCACTCAAAGATGCCATTATCTCTTCTCTTAAGTCGGAGTTTGACATGAATGATTTGGGAAAACTAACATATTTTTTAGGTGTTTCAGTTACTTACTCTAAAGGTGGTATGTTCCTTTCTCAACATAAATATGTTACTAAAATCATCAAACGAGCCAAAATGGAGAACTGTAAACCTGTTGCTACCCCTGCTAACACGAATTCTAAACTCAGTTCTTCTATGGGTGAACCGGTCACTGACCCCTCTGCCTATCGTCAACTTGTTGGTGCTTTGCAATATTTAACCTTCACGAGACCTGACATAGTTTATGCGGTTCAACAAATCTACCTCTTCGTGCATGCCCCTAGAGAGCCACGTCTTAATGCCTTAAAACGCATTATACGCTATTTGCAGGGAACTAAAGCTCTCGGATTACACTTATACTCATCCAAACCATCTCAACTTGTTGCTTATACTGATGCTGATTAGGGTGGTTGCCCCCGACACTAGACATTCTAATTCTGGTTATTGTGTGTTCCTCGGTGACAATCTGGTATCTTGGTCTGCTAAACGTCAACCTACATTATCTCATTCCAGTGCCAAGGCGGAATATAGGGGTGTTGCTAATGTCGTCGCCGAAGCTTGCTGGCTGCGCAATCTTCTTCTTGAACTTCTAACGCCTCTCAAGATGGCTACCTTAGTTTATTGTGATAACGTCTCTGCCATTTATCTTTCTTACCAATATGTTGATATCTTCACCAAGGGATTACCACGACAATTATTCTTGGATTTTAGATCCAGTTTGACCATTTGTCCTCCTCCCGCTCCAACTGAGGCAGGCTATTTGTAGATATAATTGTATCTATATTTGGTAGTTATATTTTCCCATATTATATGGATTTCTTGTATTGTATAAATATCAATGTTTTAAAAACTGGTTTTTTAGTTGAACCGGTATGGTAATCGGTTCCCGATTGAACCGGTTCGACCGTCAGGTCAACCGGTTTCTATAATTTTCATCATTTTTCTAATTTCCTATACATACATCCATATATAAATCATGAATTTGATGTTTTCAAGTTCAAACATTAAAAATAAACATAAAAATAAGTTGTAGATCAATCCAAATACATTAAAATAACACATAACCATAAGTTTTAGTGTTTTACATTGATCCATATACGTAAAAAAGAAAATTGTAATACCAAAACAAAATATAGTTTTAAATGAATACAAACACATCAAAAAACTTTAAAACATTACCATATGTTTTTTTTAGAGAAAGCTAAATAGATTTGAAAAAAATCATCAAAGTTTATTATAAAATTAGTTATTTTCTATGTGTTTTTATTAGATTTAACCGGTTCAACCAATTTATTTTGGCAGGTTCAACTGGATTTTTCTAAAAACCAACCGGTTCAAAAATCAACGTAAAACCGGTGATAGTTGAACCGTTCCCTCCTCCGGTTCCCGATCCAACCGGTTCGACGGGCCGGTTCAACCCGGTTTTTAAAACATTGATAAATATATACATTGTGATTAATGAGAAGGCAGGCAAATTCACTTTGTATTAATGGATATTATAAAATGGTATTGAATTCTTTTGGAATTAAAAAAAATAATAATCCATTATCCATGGGTGATAGGATTTTAACTTGAAATACTCTCTCTCCCCACCTTACATGCTTCTCCTTTCACAACAACGTGTTGCTGCATTTTTCACTTTTCTTCTACATGGCTACAAGTAAGAAACTCGTTATCGATTTCTTGGTTAAAGATCTTGGGGAAAATGACTTAGAAGGGTAACTACCTCTTCTTAGTGTTCACATATTGGCAACTTTTTTTTTGTACATAAGAAGGCAACAAACTTGTTTTAACTGTTTAAATAATACCATTATTACCAGCTAACCTCCATTTTAACCGGTAAATCAAATTAACTCGTTTAAATGAAAGGGAAAAGAAATTACGTGGGATACAAAAGATTATAAGTGGCATCCAACTGGCATATTACACATCACCTTATTATATAAAGGGTATTTGTCGTTAAAGCCCTAGATCGACAATGGCTGCTTCTTCTGCTTCATCTACTTCTTCCAAACGCAATGTCGAATTGCAAGCTGACCATCCATGTAAGTGTGACATGCCATTGCGTGTGAATATTTCAAGAACACCAGACAATCCAGGAAAAAAAATTCAAGTTTGTCAAAACTCTCTGGTAAATATGTTTTTTTTAATCATCCATAGCTGAATCTTCTTCTTCATCTTCTCTTCAATTTAATTTCTTTTTATCCTTTCATTAAGAGTGAAAGAACTCCAAGATGTAATTTCTAGGAATGGTTGGAAGAGGATGAGTACGAAGTAGAGAAGACAAGTGATTTGGGACAAATCTACAACCTAACATTCAGGCTTGGAAATTTGGAAAACGAAATTAGTATATGCAGGAAGAAGTTGGAAGAAGAGAAGAACTCTGATTTGGTTTTCGGACAAGAACTGGACAAAGTGAAGTCGAAGTTGTTTACTCATAAAGTTGCATTGTTTGTGTTATTTTTCTTGTATGTTAAAGATGTAGTTTTTAAAGTTTGATGTGTTCTTTGTATCATGTTTGATGTAAATAGACTAAATCATGTACTTCAGGAAGTTTTGTATGCAATGAAAGTTATGAAAGTATTGAGTAAAGTTTGATGTTTTGTATACAATTGGCATTATAAACGGGGGTCACAAATGACATTACCATTAAAGACAGTAAACATGTAATGTATACAAACATCTAAGTAAACATGTACTTAAATTAGATGTTAAAGTACCTTACAATACAAAAGATTCCCAAACATACAGGACCCAAGATGTTAAAGTACCAAAATATTCCAAAAGATGTGCCAAGTTTGTCCTAATGTTCCAAAAGCTATTACAAGACAAAACATGCATACCAAAAGTTGCGCAAACATAAAAACAAGACATTAAATTCAAGGGATCCCTAAATTCAAATCTCCAGTAGGTGTTCATTACTGCTTCCCTCCTTCCTCCTTATGTTCTTCCGTAGCATAATCTTTGTAATTCTTTCTGAACTTTTTCTTGTCCTCTTCCTAACTTGAATTTATGCATTATCTTGAATATCCAGTTCCACATTATCTTGAACTTCAATTTCATGTTCCACTTCATCTTGAATCTCCTCTTCAATGTCATCTTGAACTAAAGGAGCATCAACTTCAATGTCATCTTGAATCTCATGTTCAATGTCATCTTGAACTAAAGGAACATCAGCTTCCACATCAGGTACCACATCAACTTCAACTTCAGGTACCACATCAACTTCAATGTTAGCATCCACTTCATGTACCACATCAACTTCAGGAACTTCAATGTTAGCTTCTACTTCAATGTTAGCATCCACATCACTTTCACTTTCAAATTCACTATCACTTTCACTTTCAAACATAACAACATGTTCCACTTCCAATTCAGCTTCAAGGTCTACTTTACCTATAAGAGGGAAAAAATTCAGACATGGCACATAAGTGTAATATATTAGATAAGTTAGCACCATACATTGTTTCTTAGGTGTCTTTTTTTTAACCTGAAGTAGATGGTACATCATTTGGTCTTTGAGGACATGTTGATCTGTTATGTCCTCTTTCCCTACAAATGGTACATCTCATGATCATTCCCCTTTTTGAGACTGTATGCCTTGTTCCCTTAGTTTCTCTCTCAACTTGATCCCTTTTCCTTTTCATTAATGGTCTTCCATGTAGCCTTCTTTTTTTAGGGGCAATGGTTTGGTGTAATCCACTTCAGGCCATATAGCACTACAGTTGAGTGGCCTAATGTTATACCTATAACAACGTGCATACATTGAAGTAGTAAAACATTCTGACACATAGTCCTCAGGGTCCCTATTGAGGCTTGAAATGGCAGCATATCCATGCACACAAGGATACCCTGTTAACTACCATGCCCTGCATCCACATTGCCTGGTATGAAGGTCTACAGCATACGCATCAATCCCCACCCTCACCTCAAATTGCATATACCCAAAAGGTACCACTTTCAAAAACATATCCATAATCATATACAAATTATAAGATATTAAAAATGTCAAACATATAAGCAATAAGAATTTACCTTTGTTGTTCCTTGAGCTTGTTCAACTTCAACCTTATGGAAGGACATATGTTTAAATCCCAAGATTGACCCTTGGCCTTGTATATACACAACCTTTCCATTACATAAACCTGGATTTCTTCTAACATTGTAATAAGTGGTTTCTTCCTAGCAGCTTCAATCACTGAGTTCAAACTTTTAGAAATACCATTTTCATATGCATCACAACTCCTATCAACCTGAAAAAATGCTTTACACCATGTTTTAGGGTCCCTTTCCATCAAATGTTCATAAGCCAGTGGTTATAGCTTCTTATTTCATTCATATGGTACTCAAACTTTTGTGGAATTGTAGATCCAGCAGCTCTCCAAAACAGCTTCTTAAATATTTGCCCCTTAAATCTTTTTTGGAAATTAGCACAGATGTGCCTAGCACATTGCCTATGCTCTGCAGCTGGAACCCTTTCCTTCACAGTTTCAACTCGTCCCTATAATCAATACATACAAAGCATAAGCTAAAACATATTAAGTATGGAAAATAACAATAATTGAAGTGTGAACATTATTTTGTGTTGGTCTGATATTATGGTTAGTCCATGCACAACTCCCATTCCAATGTCATCAATTGGAAGATCAAGAAACTACTTCCATGTTTCTTTATTTTCTACTGCAACCACAGCCCATGCAACAGGATATATGTGGTTGTTTGCATCCCTCCCAATGGTTGCAAGTAACTGACCTCTGCATATGTCCTTTAAGAAACAGCCATCTATTACAATGAACCACCTACAGCCCTCTATCCATCCATCCTTCAAACCCTTTAAACACAGATAAAACTTTGAGAAGTATGTTTCTCCATTAGGCATCACATCCACTTCCATCTTAACTATTGATCCAGGATTTGTCCTTTTTAGCTCTTCTCCATACCCTCTATCCATCCATCCTTCAAACCCTTTTAACACACATAAAACTTTGAGAAGTATGTTTCTCCATTAGGCATCACATCCACCTCCATCTTAACTGTTGATCCAGGATTTGTCCTTTTTAGCTCTTCTCCATACCCTCTATCCATCCATCCTTCAAACCCTTTTAACACACATAAAACTTTGAGAAGTATGTTTCTCCATTAGGCATCACATCCACCTCCATCTTAACTGTTGATCCAGGATTTGTCCTTTTTAGCTCTTCTCCATAGCTCCATGTTTTAGCATAATGCTCTATTAAAGTACCTTCTATCTGCTGAAATGCATATTTCCTAGCATTTCTGCATTGTCTAACACTTGTTATCAGGTTAAACCTTTTACCGACCTTAGCTTTCAATTTCCTAATGCTCATCTTTGGTTTCTGTAATATCTCATTCATGAAATGAGTTCCAATCCATTTGTAGCTTACAATGGACCCAAATTTGAATACTCTTGCACAATTATGCCTATCAATTAAGGACTTAATATGAAAAAACCTCTCATTCTTCATCCAAGTTGCCCACAACCTAAAAGGATAACTCTTATTCTTCTTGTTCTTCTTATGTTTACAACATTTTGCCAACAGTTTTTGATGATCACTTTTTTCAAACCATAAATTGTACCCATTCTTGACAGCATAGTTGGTTAGACATAGCTTCAATTCAAGAGGGTTGGAAAACTTCATACCTAAAACTAGGACCATTTTATCCCATTCTTGCTTCTCATCAAAGACAGGGAACACAACCTCATCATCTTCATCATTGACTTCATCATCAGCAGCATCATTTACTTCTTCTTGATTACTATTAACAATGGGTTTACCACACAACTTGTTCAAAAATTCATCACCATCTGTTTTGTCAAACGTATGCACCTCTTCATCAGGTTCGTGCTCACATTCCATTATATCTGAAATTTGTGACTCTGTATCATCATCTTCTATCACCTCAGACACCTCATCACCTGTTAACATCTCTTTATCGGCCCAGTCAAGAATACGTTCGTTTTGGTGGTCAATGTACACATTCACCCTTAGCTCGTTCTTATCCATGTAACCATCTTCAATAAACTCAAAATAATCAACATCATTGTCGATTCTTCTGATACCTTCTGCCAATCTTTCATGAGTACTACAATAGTACAAGTTGTCACAACCTTGTCTTGTCAGCTTTGAAACCCACAACACAAATTCTCTATAGTCCATGCCACCAAAATCCACATCACGAACTGACATTCTCATAGGGTCTAAGTACACTAACGGATTTGGTACAAACATGCCCTTGTAGTGAAAATCTATAGTGAGAAACCTACCGTTAAGTGATGCCATTGTAGTGTATACGGTCGTCGATTTCAAGTCCCAACTTCAGTTCCTACTGCTTCGATCGAGTGAATTCTGAGGAAAATTAAGTAACCAGGAACGATTTGGGGAAGGATTTGGGAGTATTTGTGAAGAACCCTAATTAAATTAGGTTGATTCACCTGATTAAATGAGGTCAAATACGGACGTCATAACGTTCTATGCCATGTAATAACGTCATATGCCACGTAATTTCTTTTCCCTTTCATTTAAACGAGTTAATTTGATTTACCGGTTAAAATGGAGGTTAGCCGGTAATAATGGTATTATTTAAACAGTTAAAACAAGTTTATTGCCTTCTTATGTACAAAAAAAATAAAAAATAAGTTGCCAATATGTGAACACTAAGAAGAGGTAGTTACCCTCCTAAGTCATTTTCCCGAAGATTTTGTGGTTGTGCTTAGAACGCTTGATCCCATGATTATGGGCTCACTATGTTCATCTCATGTTTTGCTTCTTTTGCTTGAAAAGGTTCCAAATCCTTAATTTTGTTTGAAAATTTATTTTTAATTAATGTTGAGTTATTCTTGTATTTTCGGTTCGAAAAATTAAGTATCCTCCTACTTTTTATTTATACTCATCCTCCTACCACTTTTAGAAGATAACAATTGTAATCAAAATTTATTAATTTTATTAAATATGACAAGTTAAGTGTGTAGTAAGATGGTAGAAGAAAAAGTAGGAGGATATTTGATTTCTCTTTCGGTTCATGTTTGGAGTTAATTATACTTGAAGCACAGTGAGTCTCTAATTTACTGATGTACACAGCTCTGATATTTTTTTAGGGCTGTAAAATACTTCAATTGAGCTTTCATGGAAGTTCACGTATGTATTTTAATTTTTCTGATAGCAGAAAATTATCGTATTTATAATAAAAAGTAAACTAATTAAAAGGAGAATTGACCTAAAATACAATATGAAAATTTAGGCTTAAAGTAAATTCAAGTACGTTGTAATTTGTGTGTCTGTGTGAGTCGCTCACAGTATCCTTGTGTAATGTGTAGTATAACACATGAGAATATGTGAATGCATATATGTTAATACAGTGCATAAAATACAATATGAAAATTTAGGCTTAACGTTATAAAACCTGTCTTTTATTCGGTTGGAAACATCAACCTTGTTAAAGTCAAATAATAAAAAAAATCTTTTTTGCTGCAAGTTAGTTTTGTAAGCCTTTAAAAATCAAAATCAAGTGTGTAGTTTTGTGTTGACTTCAAAGTCTTTGAATGAAAAATTGAGGCCCAAGACATCTGCATGTGCTGCGGGGACTACAGGAATGTAACTTCATTGACTTCCAAGTCTTCTCTTCAAACCAACCAATAAGTTATAAAATTAATGTTTTAAGCTTTAGCAGGGATAAATAAACGAAGGGAACATATTACAAAGATATTTACAAAAGTAAAATATTAGTTCTTTTTTTTAATAAAACAGTTCACAAGGTTCAATGCGTTTAAATAAAATTTGGACAACTTTTAACCATGTTGAGCGATTTGATCCATTAGAAGTAAAGAGTGACCCAAATCAATTCATTTACTCATAAGTTGGTTGGAATTGTCACCTCTAAAATAGACTCCATATAATTGCATGAAGAAGTACTTAGAGGACCAAATGAGGATTAGTTTGTAAAATCTATTCTAACTATATTTTGTTATGACAATGTTGTGGTAAACCAAATCAAATTGAAGGTAAGATGCTATAATACACACATAAATGAAAATACTATGTTATTGCTTGCATTTATCCCAAATTCTATATATGTTAGCTAAATAAAAAGCTCATAATTATCTCCTCAGTTGTGATGCTTTTCCCTGTTTTCTACATTGTTTTTTTCTTGATTCACCCCTTTAATAGTTATGATTTTACGTTTTTCTATAGGCCATCATGCACTTATTTTGATCGACAAAAAAAGAAAATAGCCTAGGACCACAAGAATATTGTGTTTTATTTTGTCATTAATGACTTTCAAACCTTGCATGGAAACCAGTTGCTCTTCATTTATTGCTTTATATATCAACTATTTTTTCCTCCTAACAACGCATTACTTCCTCTTAACAACCCACCTTTCTACTTCAACTCTTCTTTTCCAATCTCTAAATTAACAAACTGAGTTAAGGTTCATAATGGGGAATCCAAGGGGTTTGGGGCTCCATTTCATTTTCGTATGTGCTTTTCTGTTTGCAGGAGCTAGATTTACAACTTGTTTGGGTGATGGAAATATGAGTGTGATTTGCTCTGAGCAAGAACGACTTGCTCTTTTCAAGTTCAAACAGAGTGTCAAAGATTTTTCTGGAATGTTGTCATCGTGGGTTGGCAATGATTGTTGCCTGTGGGAAGGAGTCCACTGTGAAGACGCATACGTTGAGAGCCTTCATCTCAGAGGATGTTGGAGATATAAAGAGAGCAACGATGACTGCTACTTAAGTGGTGATGAGGTGAACCCTTCTTTGGAAGATTTAAGGCATCTCAAATACTTGGACTTGAGTGGGAATGATTTTCAAGGAAGTCGGATCCCAAAGTTCTTTACATCCTTGAAACAACTGACATACCTCAATCTCTCTCATGCTGGTTTTGAAGGTATTATTTCTCCTTATATTGGAAATCTTTCTGATTTAAAGGTTCTTGATCTCAGTTCAAATGGAGGTCTGAAGGCAGATGACATGGCATGGACCTCTGGCCTTTCGTTGCTTGAGTATCTCGACTTGAGTGAAGTAGATCTTGGCAGAGTAAAAAACAGGGACATGGTGTTTTACATGATTCCTTCGTTAGAAGTGTTAAGTTTGTCATGGTGTAGTCTTTCCAATGCTGACTTTGGTCCTTTTGTTAATTCAAGTAGAATACTTCCCAACATCAAACACTTGGATCTTAGCGAAAATTCTTTCCAAGGTCCACTCCCTAACTTTTTTCAAAACCTTTCATCCCTAACATTCCTTGATCTTTCATACTTCGATCTTAGCTTGGCATGGAACTTTGCAAACTTGCTAAGCGTGATCCCTTCTTTATCTGAGCTGCATTTGTCAGGTTGTGGGCTCGATACAACACATCTATCTTCTCCTCATTTTAATTTCAGTAGACTTTCAAACATCCAACACTTGATCCTTAGCGAAAATTCAATTGAAGGTGTATTTCCACCTGTTTTCACAAACATGAGCTCCCTAAGAGTCCTTGACCTCTCGGGAAACTTGTTGAATTCATCGGTTCCTGTTATGCCCAACCTTCTAGATCTTGATCTTTCGGATAACCGGTTTAAGCAGATTAAGGATGTTGGGATCTGGACACACTGTCACCTAAAACAATTGCATGCTTCGTTCAATCATTTTGAAATAACAATGATGGACTCACCAAAAAACTTATCAGAGTGCTCCCAGTATGCTTTGGAATGGTTGGATTTACGTTCGTGTTCAAATGTTACAATTCCAGAGCCACTTGGAAGACTGCCTAATTTAAGAGGGATAGATCTATCGAGCAGCGGATTGGTTGGCTCAATCCCCGAATCTTTAGGAAGATTAAGATTTTTACAAGTTTTGAATCTATCGTGCAATAGATTGACAGGCGAAATCCCTGAATCTCTTGGAAGATTAAGATATTTAGAAGTATTAGATCTCTCTGATAACAAGTTAACCGGTCAAATTCCCTCATTCCTTGGGAATCTTTCTAAACTTGACCTTTCTTCTAATCAATTGAATGGGACTATTCCAGCTGCAATTGGGAAACTTTTCAAACTCCATTCTCTAGATTTCTCTAATAATTCTTTAGAAGGAGTAGTTTCTGAAGCCCATTTTGTGGACCTTTCAATGTTGAAGTACTTGGATGCTTCTTTTAACACCAAGTTGACATTCAATGTTTCAAGTGACTGGATGCCTCCATTTCAGTTGGTAACTCTTCGACTCCGTTCTTGTAATATCACAAACGGATTTCCACAGTGGCTTCGAAATCAAAGGAAACTTTACGAGTTGGTGTTGTCAAATGCTTCAATTTCGGGACCTCTGCCCACATGGATGCGGAAGATGCCCATCATTCCTCAGTTAGATCTCTCTCACAACCAACTCAACGGACCTTTAACAAATCTTCCCAATGGGGCAACTTATGGCTTGTTTGGTCCTTCTCCGGTATTATTTCTTGGAAATAACTTTTTCAATGACTTGATTCCAACATCATTATGCAGAAGGACAGATTTGGATTATCTCGATCTTTCCAAAAATAACTTAACAGGTAAAATTCCCAAGTGTCTTGAGAAGCTGGAAAGGTTGTATGCGATGATACTTAGCTCAAATCAATTTTCCGGTGTCATTCCGAGTTTTGTAGGTTTTGGTTCATTAACTCGGTTAAGGTTGAATGACAATAAGTTTACTGGTGAAATTCCTCGAGAACTGGGGAATTTACGATATCTAAATATCTTAGATCTCGGTGATAATAAACTGTCGGGAAATATACCCAAATGGGTAGGGGAAGAACTTACATATTTGGCAGTTTTGAGGTTACGCAAAAATAACTTCACAGGAAGAATTCCTCAGTCTTTGTGCAATGTTTCAAATCTTCAAATTTTGGATGTTGCACACAACAACTTAAAGGGACACATCCCTCGTTGTCTTGGAGAGTTGATTGCCATGGTTAATAACAGCGGATCTGGACAAATGGGTAGCTTGTTCGACTATGATGAGATAAATGTTGATCAGGTCATGAAAGGTGTTGATCTTGAATATACAAGAACTTGGTATATGGTTTTCAACATGGACCTTTCCAGCAATCAACTTGTTGGAGAAATACCTGTCGAGCTAACTGCACTTTCCATGTTGGGGGGTCTTAATTTGTCCAATAATCATCTCAGTGGGGGTATTCCAGATACCATAGGAAACATGAAGAAGTTAGAATCTCTCGATTTATCTGGAAATGAGTTGACAGGGGTGATCCCTCCGAGCATGGCAGATTTGACTTTTTTGAGCCATTTGAATTTGTCAGACAACAACTTGTCGGGACGAATTCCAACAGGAAGACAACTGCAGACCCTCACTGATCCATCGATATATGAAGGGAACAAAGATCTCTGTGGATCTCCATTGCCTAAGAATTGCTCAAATCCCAGAGAAGACCCAACAACAACAACAACAAGCAAGAAGAAACAAGAAGCAGTTGATGAGAAGACTAAGGTATGGTTGTTTTACGTGGACATAATATGTGGGTTTGCAACAGGGTTTTGGGGTGTTATCGGAGTTATTCTGTTCAAGAAGCAGTGGAGATGGAACCTTTTCATGTTTGTTGAGAAAACCATGGACAAGATATATGTTGCGGTTGTGGTAAGAGTTAACAAGATCAAGAGAGGAAGACAAGTCACATAGAACGTCTGGAATGCAAGTAACTCGCCAGCATAAAGTTAATCATAAGGGTATATATCACGATATGCTAAAACCTTGAGATTCAAAAGTGAATTTATTATTTTATTTGTCGTTGTATAAGTTAATATACTTCAGTTTTCGGGTGTGGCAAGTTGCCCATTAAACCTGTTGTTTTTCTTCTTAAACACGGTGTTTTGTTAAGTTGAGTGATCGAAGTAAAATAAAACATGGTCTTATGACTTTCAGCAGACTTCTTCTTGATAGCAAATACTTCTTTTAAGCCGTGATTTTCATTTTCATTTTCAATTTCACAGCCCTCTTTCTGGAAAACATTGGATAGACAACTGTATTTCTGCTTGACATTTTAACAAACACCTTGTCAGCATCACAAAATACAACTTCAATTCAATACTGTTATATAACTTTTCTTTAACCAAAATATTTTTTTCAAAGTCAAAACTCATTAATTGATCAATACACCTTTTTATTTCAACAAGCACTGAAACTTTAAATTGATAAGGAATAGATTTATCCTTTTGTAGAAAAATGTAACAACTTGATCCTTCAGATAAGAATGCCTAAATAATAAAAGAACACTTACAATCTAGATCAGATCAATTGGTTTTCTAGTTGATGAAAATCGAAATAATTGCTTTGATCAGCATCTAATTCATCATCTTCAACTTCAATGGTTTAATAAAGTATCAGTTAATGTTATCCATGAACCATTATTAACAGAACACTAAATCTTAAGTTCTAGATTACATTTTTAGATTAAAAAAAGAGAACACAATTATTCAGATAAAGAACAAAATTTCCCATAATATTATGGGAAAATACCAGGAAAGCCGTTGAAGTTCGATTACCTTTCTAAAAAAGCAATGCGTGTAATAAAGAAAAGAAAAGAAGGAAAAGGAGAAACGAAAATAAGTTCCAATTTATGTATGTAAGGGATGAAAAATGCAACAACATCAAACCGGGGACGAAAAACGCAACAAAATCAAACCACAGGGACGATCCGAGTGCAAAAAAAAAGTTAGGGACCAAACATGCAATTGTGACCAAACCACAAGGATGATTTCAATAATTTACTCTTTTATTTATTAGAAATGTAATATACCAATTGGTTTTTAATATTTAGATATAATTATTTGATTAAATTATTAATATATCAATTTGCAAGTCTTGCAGAATTTGAAAGATGAAATCCAAATGGCATTTAATTTTTGCTGAGTGGAATTGCAAGGGATTTTTGAAAGACCCGATATGGATGGTCTAAGAAACTCATGTGAATACATGTTAACGCACTTTTGGTCTGTCACATCAACGCCACATCATTTTATCCTCACCCTCCATTCGTACGAAATAACTTTAATACACCTCGTCAATCCTTTTTTTTTTTAATATTTAAATATATATAAATAATATATCAATATTATACTCTACTTGTATGCAATTAAAAACTATGAATTTTAATATCTTTTTAATAGTTTTTAAATATATGATTTAGTAATGAATTGTTAGTATTGAATATATATATATATATATATATATATATATATATATATATGAACAAGGTGTGACAAAATGGTCTCGTGTGGGATGGATACCGCACCACCCGCATATCTGGTCGGTGTGGTGTGTTCACCGTAGTACCGCATTGCCATGTCACCATACCGCGGTGCGAAGTATTGGTGCATGCTTCGACCAGTCTCATGTTGCTCATAATAATACCTAAGAACATGAAGAACATCAAACATAAAAATGGTAGTACGAGTAAGAAAGTAGTAAATTTGTAACATAGAAACCTTCATCGCCCGCCAAAAACTCTTACAACCACCTCCAGATAAAATAACCTTCATCGCAATTTTGCAATTTTGTGAACTCCTAAATACCCATCTCATTTTAGATAATATATAAACCATGATGCATTTCACTACATGATTTGTGGTTTTCTTCATCTTCAGATCGCCGTTCCACTTCATTCCTCCTCTTTTATCCATTAGATGCAATATAGATGATTAGGATTTAGGGCTTCAATGATCCTCATTAACATAGTAATAAAATGCCAAGTGTGTATGAAGTTACAAGCTAGTAAACTTGAACTAAATTTACTAATTTGGCTAATCCGAACAACTAAAAAGATCAAGAATTACTCTTGTGAACTAAATAATCATATATGGTTTGTTCAAGAACGAAGTTAAACTTCAATGGTTAATTTTTTTTAAAATTACAATGGCTTAATAAAAAGAAAATTGAAAATATAATTAGTAGAAAACTGAAAGTAATGTCTAAAGTATTTTACCTATATCAGTAAAAAGGACAAAATACATTGCTAGTATATTGCTATTGGCATAAATTGCCCTTAGAAGTCAGGTAGCATCATCCTCAAAAGCAAAGCATTTAGAAATCCAATACACGATGATTCATAGTGCATACATCGTCCAGATATAATTTCAAAAGTACAAAGTTCCAAGCCCCTAGCCTAAGATGAATCAGACCTGGATCTCTGATGACAAAGGCGAAGCTCAGACACTGTCATCAAGTTTTCCTTACTTAACTCCTTCACCAGCCTTTTCACCAAGAAGGGAAGACCTTC